CAGAATATACGTACGCATTTTTAGAAACCGTGAGAGAGTTTAGAAATGTGGCAGTATAGAAAATTAAAATATGAAAGGCAGTTACATCCTACACACCAGCAGCAAGCAATGAGAAAATGACACCACATGCAGCAGCAAGACTATCAGGGTACTAAGAATAACCCTAATGAAAGATGGACACAATCTCTATTGGGTACGTTGTGAAACTTAAAGAAGACATAAGTAAATGGAGAAATATATCACGCTCATTGGTAGGAAGATAAGATTTCATTAATTTGTCAATTTCCCCCCAATTGATCTAGGGATTCAACGCAAATCCAATCAAAATCTCAATAGGATTTGTGGTGGAACTTGATAAAAACAACTATGATATTTATATAGAAGGGAATGAATCCAAGAAGGACCAGAACCCTTAGGAAGATGGGCAGAGAGGCAAATTGTCCCTCAGATGTGAAGACAGTACAACCTTGCGGGGGGGGGGGGGGGCGCAGATTCATCTGTGGAATAGAACAGACACTCCAGAGACAGACCCATGCATGTACAGAGTGAGATGTCAGTTCACAGTGGGAAAGAAAGGCATTTTTCAACAAATAAATGAAACAAAGTTGTTATTCCTATGGAGAAAGATAAAATTTTTCAAATAAATTTTTTTAATTAAAAATTTTTTAAATGTTTATTTATTTTTGAGAGAGAGAGAGAGAGAGAGTGTGGGAGGGGTAGAAAGAGAGGGAGACACAGAATCTGAAGCAGGCTCCAGGCCCGATGCAGGGCTCAAACTCATGAGTTGTGAGATCATGACCTGAGCTGAAATCAGACGCTCAACCGACTGAGCCACCCAGGCACCCCAAAGATAAAATTTGATTGTCACCACACCATAGTCAAACATCAACTCCAGATAAGTTAGGACTTATATGTCAAAGACAAAATTTGAAACTCTTAATAATAAATGTAGATAAATAATCTTTTAAACCTCACGGTAAGGAAAATTATCTTTTTTCTTTAAAAAATTTTATTTATTTCTTTTGAGAGAGAGAGAGAGAATGAGAGTAGGGGAGGAGCAAAGAGAGAGGGAGAGAGAGAATCCCAACCAGCCATCCAGGTTCCCTAAGGGGAAAGTTTCTTTCTTTCTTTCTTTGATGTTTATTTATTTTTAAGACAGAGAGAGCATGAACAGGGGAGGGTCAGAGAAAGAGGGAGACACAGAATCTGAAACAGGCTCCAGGCTCTGAGCCGTCAGCACAGAGACTGACACAGGGCTCGAACTCACGGACTGCGAGATCATGACCTGAGCCGAAGTCGGACGCTTAACCGACTGAGCCACCCAAACTCCCCTGAGTTTCTCGAGACAAAAGTAGCACTGACTTTTAAAAATATATATTGATAGCTTTGGCCACATTAAAATTCACAGTTTTCATCAAAACATACCTTTAAAACACTGAAAATGCAGTTACAAACTGGGAGAAACTGTTCACAACAGATACTACGAGCGTAACAACCCTACAGAAAAACAGGCAAAAGAGATGAACAGATATTCCCCGGAAGAGGAATTTACATAATTAACAAACGCACACTGAGATATTTAACACAACCAGTGAAATGTAAATCAAGATCACAACAAGACTGCTTTCTTAGGTCTATTTGGTTGGTGAAAATGAGCTAGCAATCCCGTTCAGAAGCATCTACTCACAAGAAACACTCACTCGTGCACAAAGAGACACATGCAAGAATGTTCCAAGAGTCATCGACCACAACAGCGAAGCCTGGAAACGATCTAAATACACAACACAGGAACACGGAAGAATAATTGTGAGATAGTCGCACAAAGAAATGAGCTACAGTAAAGATTCAGCAGCACAGATGAATTTTAGCAATTTGACATTTGGTGAACGTGTAAGCGCGATGCCCTTCTTAAAGGAGTAAAAACAGCTTAAAATGAAAAATCTTTGAAGAATACCTATAGATGCAACAAAAGGAGAACGGTCCCCTCAGGGGTGATTCAGGAAGACAGGGGTGCCAGAGACGGGTGGGTGCAGATACTGTTTGGTTCTAAATATGTTTTTAAGACAATCTGAATAAGAATGGGCCATGTAAGGACAAACCATGAAACTATGCCATGAACCAAGGATTATGACCAACCAGAGCATATGCGCCTGAGACGCAATGAATGAAGGAAGTTGTACACAGTGCAATAAAGTAAGGAAAAGATACAAAAGGTATAATGATGGCAAGGAAAAAGAAAACTCTTCAGATGACATAACTGTGTACGTGAGAAATAATAATAGTCTTCAGATTATTCACAAGAAATAATATTATTCAGAGAAATAAACATAATCTTCAGATATATTAACAGAATTGATAGAAATGTTAGCCAGATGGCTGGATTAAAAAGAAATCAGTTCATAAAAATCAATTCCATTTCTATCAACCAGCCACAATCTGTAGAAAAAACACAAATTTTAATACTACTTACCCTAGAATCAAAAATAAAAACACATATAAGACTAAATCTAACTTTAAAAAAGTGCAAACAGGGGCGCCTGGGTGGCTCAGTCGGTTGAGCGTCCGACTTCGGCTCAGGTCACGATCTCGCGGTCTGTGAGTTCGAGCCCCACACCGGGCTCTGTGCTGACAGCTCGGAGCCCGGATCCTGCTTCGGGTTCTTTGTTCGGTCTCTCTCTGCCCCTCCCCCGCTCATGCTCTGTCTCTCAGAAATAAATAAAATGTAAAAATCCTTTAAAGATGTTTGTAAAACTTTTTTTGGTGCGTCTTGACAAGCTGGCTCTGTAACTGGTATGGAAGTAAAGGGGTCAAGAGTCCAGAAGAGCGGAGTCATTTCTGAGGAAGAAAAACAAGATGGTGGGACTTGCCTGACCAGCCCAGCGACGCCCTAGTGGGCTGCAGTAAGGAGGACATTGCGGCACTGGCCCAGGGCAGACGGACAGACCGACGGAGCTCACCAGAAAGTCCAGGGACACCGTCCGTGACAGCAGCAAGCTGCAGGTAGGTGGGGAGGGCCTTTCCACAGTGGGGAGCCCCGTAAAACTGCGATCAAACCCATCTCACACCACACGCCAAATCAACTCCAGGAGCGTTAACGACCGAAACGCACGAGCAAGTGGCACTTACAGAAGAAGCCGCCACCGGGGCCTGTCTTCAAGAGCTCAGGGTAAGGGTACCAGCCACAAAAATCACCAACCGTAGAGGAAAAGGTTGACCAGCTTGGGTTTATCAAAATCAAGGTGGTTCTGCATGTCATAAGGAAGCAAAAAGACAAATCACAAAGTGGGGACAGTATTTGCAACAGTCAATGGAAAAGGAGAATCCAGAATAGACGTCACTCCTCCAAGTCGAGAAGAAAGAGACCCTTCCGGAAGAAGAGTCTACGGACAATTGGACGGAAGGCTCAGGTGGGTACTTCTCAGGAGGGGAAACACGCCTGAAAATGGGCCATCTGACTGGTAAGCAGCAAAATGTAAACGAGCGCCATCGCACTGTCTCCAGAGGCGAACACGAAGATGCATGCTGACACCAAGTGTCGGCAGCAGCAGGAGGCACGGCCCCGGTGTGAATGCAGTCAGAGTGCAGCCCCTTTGGCCGTGCTCATAAGGCCCAGTGTACCGGGTTCAAGACCCCCTCCCCATGAGCTCACGTCCACTTGGAACCTGTGAATCTGACATTATTTAGAAACCGCCTTTGCAGATGTCATCAGGTTAAGATGGCACCCTGGAGGGAGGGGGTGGGCCCCAATCCAACAGCAGTGTCCTTACAAGAGCGAACTTTGGACACAGAGACACAGAGAAGGAACACCACGTCAGGACGGGGCGCAGCCTGGAGTGGCCCAAGGACAAGCCAAGGAGCACCAAGCATTACGAGCAGGCAGCAGGAGCTGGAGGAGACCAGGAGGGATTCTTCCCTACAGCCTTGGGAGCACGGCCCTGCGAACACCTTGACTCCAGACTTCAGGCTCCAGGACGTTCACAGAACACCTTTCTGTCATTAAGCCAGCCATTAAGCCAGCCGCCTGTGTTACCGCAGCTAAGTTGAGGCTGTGTGCACCCCTCAACGCTACGCTTCTAGAAAGATGCCTGCGGAAAGGTGCAAACAACCCGGAAAGAGGCGAGATGCTGAGCGGGAGGGCCGAGCGGCCTCAGTGGCAGACTGGACGTGAGGTGAGGAGAGTGGGCGGGACTGGGGGTGTCCTCCCGGCCGAGGCCGGCCAGCGCTGAGGACAACCCGTGCCTTCGCCGCACAGACACTTACCGGGCACCGCCCGTGGGCCCCCCGCACAGCCCCAGCTGCCGGGGTGAGCGGTGAAGACAGCAGAAGATCGCTACCATTAGGGACCTGCACTCCAGGGGAGAGAGCCAGCCAGCAGACGGACGGACGGCAAGGACGCTTTGGTGCCAGGGAGGGAGGGGGGGGGCGAAAGGGGGGGGAGAAAGGGAGGGAGGTGTGGGGAGAGAGACAGACAGAGACCCAGGCAGGTGGAGGGAACAGCAGGTGTGTTTCAGGAGGAGCTGAACCAGGCAGGGGTGTGGCAGCCGCCGGGCTCCTGCCTTTTCCTCACGCATACCTTCCGGCCACTCTGGGGAAGGGCACTGAGGTACAGACCCCCCAGGGCCACCCCCAGAGACTCGGGGCTGCCCCACACCTGTCTTGTGCCCTGAGCCCGGGCCCAGGACAGGCTGGCAGGCCACGCAGGGTCGGCTCCGTCGGGAACCTCGGAAAACTGAGTGCAGGAGCCCAGTGGCCCGCTGGCGCCCGTCCCGACCCGATGCGCGCCACACCGCACACAGAGCGACACAGAGGCCACCCACCCGCTCCTGTGAGGGGCCCCGGGAACTGCTGCTGCGGGGACCCCGCGACCCCAACAGCCCGGCCAGTCCCAGGCCCGGGGCCGGTGCCCCCACGGCACACGCTCCCCGCCCCCGCCTCGCCCTGGAGGCCACGGAGCAGGCCACCCCGAGCAGCCCGCGGCGTCAGCGCCCCCGCAGCGCTACCTGGCGGCGTGAGCGGCTGAAACAGGGCGCCCTCCGGTGTCTTCACGCTCGGGAGCACGGCCGGCCGTGCCCGCGCGCTTACCGTGTCGGCCCCCGAGCGTCTGTCGGACTCGGCTTTGGGAAGGCGGATTTTCGGGGCCTGACCGTCTGCGAGCTGAAAGTCACGAGTGGGGACCGCTGACTTCCTGGGGGACTGCGCCTCGCAGCGTCTCTCGGCGGGCCTCTTGAGGGGCGCGGGCAGGGTGCAAGCGGGCGCCTGTGCGTCGTCCGGCCTCAAGTCCCCGCGCACAGCCGTCGGGGGGCGGCCCGGAGCCAGGCCTGGCACGGCCGAGGGGGACCGCACCTTCAGCGGCTGAGGGTCCGGGAGCGCGGATGGACAGTCAGCGCCGGAAATGGGCGGCATCTGCTTCCTGGCTCTGCGCACACCAACGCCTTGCACACACAGGTCGGACCCGTGGAAGGGCGGAGGCTCCACCGCAGGCTGGGAGGAGGAGGGCCGCGTTGGGGGTGCGGCTGGCCCTGCCCAGAGACCCGTGCTCCCCTGTCCCGCACCTGCTGGCCGGCCCGCTGGCTGGAGAAGCTTCTCTGTGGCTGGGCTGCCCACCAGCCCCCCTCCCCCCGCCCGCCCCCTGCTCCAAGGAGGCTCGGACACGGGGTCCTCCCCAGGCAGCCAGAGGGCCCCGCAAAGTGAACACCCGGCCCCGCGGCCTGGCCGGCAGGAAGACTCCCAGCAGGGAGTGGGCGTCGGAAAGACCCCTGAAGGAGGACTCGCTTTTCATCAGGGGAGAGGAGGGGGGACACTGCAGGCTGGAAAGGAACAGCCTAGTATTCGGAGTCTGGACACCACGGACCTCCCACGAGTCCAGGCAGGGGCCCTCCCTGTGGTGGCCACAGAGCGGGGGGATGGCTGCGGAGGAGCGGAGCAAAGGTGGCTGGAGCCGGGGAAGTCTCCCCTGGGGGTGGGGGGCGTCCGGAGTCACTGCCCAGTTTGCCTGAAGTGGCTGCAGCCACGGAGGGACAGGCAGCAGCAGGTGCGACCGCCCCCCCCCCCCCGTCCCGCCCCCACTCACCTGTCTCCACAGCAACTCAAAGTTGCCGACGTCGCAGTTGCGGTCAACCTTGCGACCCACCACCACCTTGATGGTGTCCTCCTGCACCTGGGCGCACAGCTGTGCCGTGACGGGCGTGGACGCGTGCATGGTGGGGCTGGAGTTGATCTCGATCAGCCAGGGCTGGAAGTCGCGGCCCAGGATGAAGTCGGCCCCGTACAGCTCGAAGCTGTTCTTGCGTGGCTCCACGTGGTCCTGCACCCCCCTCATGGTGTTGGCGACGGCCCGCTTCATGGCCGGGTAGATGACGCTGGCCCACACGGCCCCGCGGCCCCTCTTCTGCAGGTACTCCTGGAACCTGGTGCTGGTCCACATGTTGTGGTAGGGCAGCAGGGGGCTGCGTTCCTCATCGTTCTTCAGGTGCTTCTGGATGGAGTTGTTGCACAGGTGGATGGCGCTGCGAGCCAAGGCCACGGTCAGGCCGTGGCCCCGGGGACTCTGGACCTGCGACCCGGACCCTGCCACCCAGGCCCCCAAAACCCTTATGCCCCACCGACCCTGACGCCCGCACAGACACCTCCCCCCACGGACCCCCACGCCACCGCCAACCCCCCCTTGGGGACTCAGCTCTCGTGGCCCCGCCCCCTGGCTCAGGGCAGCTGCAGGAGGGGCTCAGAGAGCTCCCAGAGCCTCAGTTTCCCCATCTGCACCTGGCAATGGACATGGGGCCCTTGAAAAGCTGGTCGGGTGAGACAAAGTGAGAAAGCGTCTCTGTAAAAGTTTCATTAATTAATTGATACTCTTGCCTTGTTGCAAACAGGTTTTGAAACAGATACCCTGGCCTAGATGAACCATCTGGATCTGGATGGTGAAGCCTGTCCTGTGACCCCGGATAGGTCGCACTTCCATGGGACAGACAGAAGAAACAAGACATAGTCACACGGAAGGGTCTAGCAACCCGAAAACAGTGGAGTTTGGGTGGTGGACCGACCCACAGTGCCAATGTTGATTTTTGCCGCCATGTCCCAGGCTGGGCGATGCCCTGTCAGAACGACTTCGGGGAATCTCCTTCTGCCTGGGGCGAGGGCTATGGTCCCAGATGGAAAAATGGGGCTCAGAGAGGGCAAGAGTTCTGCCAGGTACTCCCTCAGGGCTTGGTGGGGTCAGGTGGCCTTGGGCGGGAGGGCTGGAAGGGCCTCCGTGGGCCTCTCGCTGCCCAGGAGGCTCTTGTGCACAGTGAGCTCAACTCGCCTGTGCAAGAGCCCCTGGCCCGGCAGAGACGAATTCGCTCCGTGAGCGGCCAGCCGGAACCTCCACTCCCCACAGCCCCTAGCCTGGGGGCCCCATTTAGTAGCTGAACAGTGGTCAGTCCTCCCAATTCTCAATGGCTCCCCTGTAAAGCCCCCGGTCAGGACGCCTAGGCACCCAGCCCCACACGCCCGACGGGGTCACAAAGCAGAACAGGGAACCCTTGGTTTGGACAGTCCATGGAAATTCTCCGCCTTGAGGATAGCGTGTTCCTGAGGCTTTGCCAAGAGGCCCTCACCATCCCTGACACACATACATCCTGCCCACTTGGAGACCCCGGCGAGTGTGGGGTCACCGACCCCTGGCACCCCATTCCTGGATGTCGGAGCCTCTGCCCAGCACCTCCATGAGACACCCTCCCCAGCACCCTGCCCCCCCGGGGGCCTTGACATCTGGGGTGCTGCTCACACTGTTCTGGCCTTTTCTGGTTCAGGTGCTCCCACTTGCCTGGCACGGCCGGGGGCCTCAGAGGACCCCTCAGGCATTGTCACATCCCACAGGCTGCCCGTCAGGGGCTGCACCCCTACCTCCCCTGCAGCTCCAGCAAGCCCCCCTACCCATCTGCAGGACCCCCCACCCCCCACCCCAGGGCTTCTGGGACTCACAAAGAGGAGGCACGGCAGGGACTACTGAAGGGGCTTGAGGGGCTGGCACAAGCACATGTGCCCTGGGAACCTCCAAAAGTGCCCTGGCCTGAGTGTCGGGCGGATCCAGAGAGAGAAGGCCAGCGAGGCGGGCGGGTATGCACACCCAGATGGCCAGCTGGGGGTGTGCGTGGGAACACAGCCGGCCACCCAGCCCTTCTAGCAGAGGGTGCAGCCGCCGCCACGAGGGTGGCTCTGGACCCGCTGTGGAGACGCCATGCCCAGGCCGGCTGGCACCTCGTGGGCACATGGCAATGGTGCTTTTAGGATTTTCTGGAGAAGACACCCACATCACGGGGGTGCAGAGCACTGGCTCTGAAGGACAGTCGGCCTGGGCCTGCCCCTTGGGGATGGAGATCACTTAACCTACCCGAGCCTCGGTTTCCTCAGTGGTGCCTCAGGCGGTGACGGGTGCCGGCAAACGTGGCCTGGCGCCCCGCCCATCTCCCGCGGCTGTTGGCGGGAGCGCACCGCGCACCCCTTGCGCCCAACGCGCCCCCTTGGGCTGACGCTCCGACTGACCTGTCCAGGTTGTCCAGGGAGAAGCGCTGTGTTGAAAACCGCAGGTAGCTTTCCTTGTAGAACCAGATGGTCAGGGGGTTCCAGTCGGTGACCAGGAACCACTGCCTGATGTCAAACTTGGTGTCGTAGATGAGCAGCGGCGTCTCGATGTACTTCTGCACCACCCACTTGTTGTCCTTGGCGGACGGGTGGTCTGCGGTCACCAGCTGCAAGATGTCTTCCACTCGGTTCATGCACACTATGTCTGCAAGAGGTCCGCGCTCAGCCTGGGGGCACGGCACACGTGGTCGCGGTTCAGCCCCGAGACCCAAGACGGCTTTGATCCAGGACCAGGAGACAGCACAGCTGGGCAGCCAGGCAGGCTCTGCCCTCACGCAGAGGCCACAATCAGAGCATCCCCCGCGCTTTCCCAGCAGGGGGCCAGCCCAACAGAGGACACAAGACTCAACGGAGGACACAAGAGTGGGGAGGGGCAGAGATGGGGACAGAGGCACTCTTATTTTTTTTTTTTTATCACAGTGACAAAGATAATCTGTCACCATTTGTTGTCTTTTTATTTGAAAGAGAAAGCAAGTGAGTGGGGGAAATGGAGAAAGAGACAGAGACAGAGAGAGAGAGAGACAGAGAGAAAGAGAGAATCCCAAGCAGGCTCCACGCTCTACAGTGGGAGGAAGGTCGGGCCTGATGGACTGGAGGGAGCAGACAGGTGCTAGTGGCAAGAGGATCAGGCTCAGGATAGAGCCCCAGGAGGAGCCCCTGGGCCAGCCTGGAGGGGAGGGGCCAGCCTGGAGGGGAGGGGCCAGCGCGGAGGGGAAGAGGCCCTCCGGGAGAGTGGGCGCAGGCCCAGAGGTGCAGGACCAAATGCAGTAGCATCACAACTTAATGAAGCTTTTTAAGTCTCATAAAAATTAACCACTTATGAATTTGAAACAACAAAACGCTTCGAATAACTCAAGGGGAAAATGAAATATCCAAACAAAAAAGGGAAGTCTACTTAGACACTCAGGAGAGTGAGAACACCCTACAACACTAACAAGATGGGGGTTGCAGCGAGCACCATCTTTGGAGGAAATTTCATAGACTTAAGGCTTTTATTGTACAAGAAAGACTGGAAATAAATAGGCGTAGCATTAAAGTCAGAGCCAAGGGGGTAAAAAATCCCTCACAGGAAATTGGAAAACTGCAACCTAAGGTTGGTTCTCTGCAAGCACAATTAAGATTTAAAAACCTTGAAAATCTATTTTTAAAAAAGAACACACAGTATTCACCATTAGGAATAAAGAGAACACAGTCATAGCTACAACACAAAATGAGGTGCAAAACCTGAGCCCATCGGACAAAAACCACAGACAAAAGTTACAGGCGTTAAGGACGTGTCTCCAATAGAGACGGGTGCTCACAGGTGAGTTTTAAAAAATAACCAAGTGGGGCGCCTGGGTGGCGCAGTCGGTTGAGCGGCCGACTTCAGCCAGGTCACGATCTCGCGGTCCGTGGGTTCGAGCCCCGCGTCGGGCTCTGGGCTGATGGCTCAGAGCCTGGAGCCTGTTTCCGATTCTGTGTCTCCCTCTCTCTCTGCCCCTCGCCCGTTCATGCTCTGTCTCTCTCTGTCCCAAAAAAAATAAATAAACGTTGAAAAAAAAAATTTAAAAAATAACCAAGTGACAGGAGTTCTACTGTTGTTTGACATGGAAGTCCTCAATCTGTCCTAGCAGCTGGCACATTGGGAGAGGTGATATAAAAAAAGAAACTCCAGCCCAGTTTAACTTGGGAACATCCTAGTTAATGCGCAAAACTTGGAAGCCAGGCGTGAAGACCAGTGTCATGGAGCCGTCTGCCCTGCTTCGAGCCTGCAGCGGCACACCTGCGCACCTGCGCACCTGCACCTGTGCACCTGCACCATCATGCACCTGAGCACCCGCACCTGCGTGCTTGTACCTGAGCACCTGTGCACCTGCACACCTGCACCATGCACCTGTGCACTTGTGCACCTGCACCTGAACACTTGCCCTGTGCACCTGCACCTGCGCCCTGAGCACCTGCACCCGTGAACCTGCATCTGAGCACCTGCACACCTGCACCATGCATCTGTGCACCTGCGCACTTGTACCTGAGCACCTGTGCACCTGCACACCTGCACCATGCACCTGCACCCCTGAGCACCTTCACCCGCACACCTGCACCTGGCGCACTGTGTTCTGGGGGCGGCAGTTGGCCACTCGCGGCCCCCAGCCTCCACTCACCTCGGCCGCGGGACTTGGCTGCGGGCTTGATGATCCAGATGTTCCGAAGCCCGTCGATCTCCGTCTGAGGGTTCACAGACGTGATTTTGTTCAGCAGGGCCTGGCACTGCGGAAAGTGATTTCTCGAATTGGAGATGAAAGCATCACCGCTACAAGGCAAGATCCAGAGAGTCCGTGAGATTCGTGAGACCTCTGTCGCGTAAGCATGTAGTCAGCATATTCCTCCACTTTGTGACATGTCTGTCCATTCTCTTTGTAGTGTTTCTTGATAAACAGCATTTTTCACGTCAACAAAATGCAATTTATCAACTTTCTATATTATGATTAGTGCTCTTGGTGAACTATTTAAGAAACCTTTGCTTCCTTGTGGTCATGAAAATATACTCCAATGTTTTTTTTTAACTTTCACATATCACATGATACATCTCAAATTAATCTTTGTGTATTTATGAGACAGGACTCAAGATACACTTTTTTTGTGTGTAAGGATGCTCTTTGCTCCAGTGCCATTTAGTGGAAGGACTGACTCTTCCTTGTGGATCTGCAGGTGGCACCTTGATCTTAAGTGACCATGTGCACGAGGACCTGCTTCCAGACTCTGTTCAGTTACACTGGTCTGTTAGTGCAGGCAGCCCATTGCCACCCTGTCATGATTACTGTAGATTTATAGTAAGTCTTGAAATATGGGTAGAAGTCCTCTAATTTTGTTTTTCTTGATCAAGGTTTTCTGGCTTTTCTTAAATCATTTATATTTCCAAATAAATTTCGGAATCAGTTTGTCAATTCCTTCTACCTCAGCCCTCAAGGAAAATCCCTGCATAGATTTTGACTGGGATTACACTGAATCTACAGATTGGAAAATCTATAGTTTGGGAAGAAAACAATCTCTATACCACTGAGTTTTCTAATTCGCAAACACGGTTTTATACACACACACACACACACACACACACACACACTTTTTAGGACATTAATTTCTCTGTTTAATTTTATAATGTGTTTAGGGTCTTCAATATATTTTATTATATTTTTTCTGGATATTTGCTGTTATTGTAGGTTGTATTTTAAAATCCCATTTCATGGTGGTTGTTTATGCATAGAAACGCAATGGAATTCTGTATATTGACTTGGCAAAACTCACATAATCATGAACTTTCTGCGTGAGTTTTAAATTTTTCTATGCACATCATCAGGTCGTCAGTATTTGCTTCTTTCTGACCTTAAGCCTCTTATTTATTTTTTCTGTACTAAACAGAAACATTATTTAAACTAAACAGACCAGCCAATACTGAGGAGCCGTGATAGTGGACATCTCATTCTGATTTCCAGGGACACTTTCAATTAAGTGTGCTAACAATTTCATTAAGAAAGATATTAACTTCAGGATTTTTGTAGATAAACTTGTCAAATTAAGGAAGTTTCTTTCTTTTTCCAGTTTGTTAAAAAAACAAGGTATTTCACAGGTATTGAATTTCATCAATGTTTTGCATCTATTGGAATTATTATATGGTTTTCTTCTTCTGTAAATGTAATAAAATCTACCAATTGACTTTTTTCAAAATTTTTTCATTAAGGGAAAATACATATAAAATTTACCATCTTAACCATTTTAAGGGTACAGTTCAATAGTATTATGAATATGTATGTTGTTGTGCAATCATCACCCCCATGCGTCTCCAGGAGTCTTGTGTCTTCCCAAACTGAAACTGTATCCCCATTAAATACTCACTCCCGGTCTCCCTCCCCGAGACCACAGTAACCACCATCTACCTTCTGTCTCTATGATTCTGGCTTCTCTAAGTACTTCAAACAAGTGAAATCACACAATATTTGTATTTTTTGACTGGCTTATTTCACTTATAATGTCCTCAAGATTCATTCATATTGTAGCAGAAACCAGAACTTCGTTAAACCAATTTTGAGTTCCTGGAACTTAAGTTGGATATAAAGAAATAAAACTGCTTTTATTCACAGATGACATATCCTTCCCATATGTAGGAAATCCTAAGGAATACACACACACACACACACACACACACACACACACACAGTACCCACTACTAGAAATAATAAATGGGTTCAGCAAAGTCATAGTTACGAGACCAATATAAAAAAATCGATTGTATTTTTATATTCTGCCAATAAAAAAATTCTAGAACAAAATTAAGAGAACAGTTCCATTCATAAGAGTATCAAAAAGAATAAAATACATAGGCATGCATTTAACAAAAGAAATGCACAATTTGAAAACCACAAAACATTGTTGACATCCATGTTAAAAAACCTAAACAAGAGGAGAAACAAATTTGTGGAAATTAACAGATTCCTTTTTTTTAATGTTTCTTTTTGTGAGAGTGAGAGAGAGTGCACAGGCATGCATGAGCAGGGAAGGGGCAGAGAGAGAGGTGCACAGAGGAGCTCTGACAGCAGACAGCCCGACATGAGGCTTGATCTCACAAATCATGAGACCATGACTTGAGCCAAAGTCGGACACTTAAGCAACTGAGCACCCAGGAGCTCCTTAACACATTCTTAAATAACCAATGGGTAGAAATCACAAGGAAATTAGAAAATACTTAGAGGGGCACGTGGGTGGCTTAGTTGGTTAAGCATCTGATTCTTTGATTTCAGCTCAGGTCATGATCTCAAGATTCACGGGATGAAGCCCTGCATCGGGCTCTACACTGATAGTGTGGAGCCTGCTTGGGACTCTCTCTCTCCCTCTCTCTCTCTCTGCCCCTCCACAGCTAGTGTTCTCTCTCTCCCTCTCTCTCAAAATTAATAAACATTTTTTTAAAAGAGAGAAACCAGACAAAGAAACTAGACCCAAAGCTAGCATAATGAAGTAATCGATAAAGATTAGAGCAGAATTGGGGCGCCTGGGTGGCGCAGTCGGTTAAGCGTCCGACTTCAGCCAGGTCACGATCTCGCGGTCCGTGAGTTCGAGCCCCGCGTCGGGCTCTGGGCTGATGGCTCAGAGCCTGGAGGCTGTTTCCGATTCTGTGTCTCCCTCTCTCTCTGCCCCTCCCCCATTCATGCTCTGTCTCTCTCTGTCCCAAAAATAAATAAACGTTGAAAAAAAAATTAAAAAAAAAAAGATTAGAGCAGAATTAACGAAAAAAGAGAAAATTAGACTAAAAGTTGACTCTTTGAAAAGATCAACAAAATGGACAAACTTTTAGCTCGATGGACTTAGAAAAGAAAGAACACACAAATTGCTAAAATAAAAAAATGATATTGGGGACATTACTACTGATTTTACAGGAATAAAAAAGATTATAAGGGAGTACTATGAAGAGTTGTACACCAACGAATGGAATAACCTAGATGAAATGGGCAAATCCCCAAGAAATACAAAACCTACCAAGATTCAATCATGAAGAAACCGAAAACATGAATAGATTTATAACTACTAAGGGGACTGAATCAGTAATCAAAAATCTCCCAACAAAGAAAAGCCCAGGACCTGATGGCTTTGCTGGTGAATTCTATCAAACATTTAGAGAAGCCCCATACCATCCCTTCTCAAATTTTCCCTAAAAACTGAAGAGGAGGGAACACTTTCTAAATCATTCCATGAGGGAGGCCACCAGCACTGCCTTGATACCAAAGCCAGACAAAGACACTATAAGAAAAGTACACACCAATACCCCTTATGAGCACTGATGCAAAAACACTTTAACAAAATGCTAGCAAACCAAACTCGGCAGCATATTAAAAGATTATACACCACGACCAAGTGGGATTTATTCCTGGAACGCAAGGATGGTTCGACATGTGAAAACTGATTGAGTTAATATATCAAATTAACAGGAGAAGGGGAGGGGCACCTGAGTGGCTTAATTGGTTGAGCGCCTGACTCTTGAGTTCGGCTCAGGTCATAATCCCAGGGTTGTGGGACTGAGCCCCACACTGGGCTCTGTGCTGAGTGTAGAGCCTGCTTAAGATTCTCTTGCTCTCTCTCCTCCTCTACCCCACCCTGCTTGTACACTCTCTCTCTAAAAATAAAATAAAGTAAAATAAAATAAAATAAAATAAAATAAAATAATTAAAAAACAGGCGAAGGGAGAAAACCTACATGATCATGTTGATGCAGAAAAAGTATTTGACAAAACTTAACAACCTTTCCTAATAAAAACACTCAACAAACTAGGAACAGAAGGAAACTACCTCAGTGTAATAAAGGCTGTGTATGAAAACGTCAGCAATCATTATCCTCAGTGGTGACAGACTGGAAGCTTTCCTTTAAGACTGAGAATAGGACAAGAATGCCACTTTCAACATTCAACAGACTGATGGAAGTATTAGCAAGAGCAGTCAGGCAAGGAAAAGAAATAAATGGCATTCAAACGGCACAAGGAGAAGTAAAATGACCTGTTTGTAGATGATATGATTGTATATGTAGAAAATCCTAAAAAGTCCACCACGAAAAAACCCTGTTACAGCTAATAAATGAAATGCAAAGTAATAAGATACGTCAACAGCAACAACACAATCAGTTGTGTATCTATACACTAGCAAGGAACAATCTGGAAAGGAAACAAGGAAACTACGTAAACAATTCCACTTACAACCACATCAAGAAGAATAACACACAGTGTGTAGGAACCAACCAAGGAAGTGAAAGGCACAACGAAAACAAAAAATTGCTGGAAGACTTGGAAGAAGACAGAAATAAATGGAAGCACATCCATGTTTATGGATTAAAAGATTTAATTTTGTTTAAGGTGTTAACAGTTTCCAAAATGATCTACAAATTCCATACAATATCAAAATACCAATGGTATTTTTCACAGAAATAAAAAAACCCATCCTAAAATTCAAACAGAATCTCAAGGGACCCAAATAGCCAAAAATAATCTTGAAACAGAAGAGCAAAGGTGGGTGACACACACTTTTTGATATCGAAACTTACTACAAAGCTACAGGAATCAAGATAGTGCGTTACTGGCATAAAGACAGACATAAGACCAATGAAATAGAACAGAGAGCCCAGTGACAGGGGAGCCAAGACTATTCAACGGGGAAGGGACAGACTCTTTAACGATGGTGCTGGGAAAACTGGATATCCATGTGCAAAAGAATGAATTTGGGCCCTTACCTAAAACCATATGAAAAAATTAATTCAAAATGGATCAAAGACCTAAAT